GGCGAGTATATAACAAACTCTGTATTTTGAGTGGAAATGTTAGGGGGTCGTCTTATACGCCCAGTCGTCTTATACGCCGGCAAATACGGTACATACTGTCTATGGCTGCTTTTGTGCTATAGTAACAGAGTTGAGTAGTTGCAATAGAGACTGTATGGCCCACAAGCCAAAAATATTTATTATCTAGCCCTTTAAAAAAAAGTTTGTTGACCCTTGTGTTAGACCATTAACATTGTCCCACAGTCTTGGATGCTCTTGATCTATTTTATTTTTTCTCTTTTTGCTTTGTGTTTCACATTGAATAATTTCTGTTGATCTATCTTCATGTTCATTGATTTTTTTCCTTCACTGTGTTGAGTCTGCTAATGAGCCTACCAAGGGGTTCTTTATTTTCCTTAGTGTGTTTTCTTTCTAGCCTTTTCATCTGACTCTTTCTTACAGTTCCCATATCTCTGTTGAAATCTGTATCTGTTCATACATGTTGTCCATGTTTTCCACAAGAGCCTTTAATATATTAATCTTAGTTATTTTAATTTCCTTGATAACTACAACATCTGAGTCATCTCTGAATTTGGTTTTATTGTTCTTTGTCTCTTGACAATGACCTGTTTTCTTCTTGCTTTTCGTGTGCTTTGTAACATTTGATTGATCATCATTTTGTTCATGAGTAGGACAGTAGAGAGTGAGGTAAATATTATTTATACCCTGGAGATGGGCATGCCTCTTTTCTTCTAGGCTGCTAGTGGAGTTGTTATAGGCAGGAGTGAGCTGGGGTTGGATTTTGTTGTTGCTATGGTTACCTTCAGGGCACCACCTACTTCAAATTCCTTTCATGTTACCTGGTACTTAAGGTGGGAGGAGGTGGATTACTGCAGTGTTTTTCTCACAATGCTTGCTCCATCCTCAGCTTTCAGCTTTCCCTGTGCATCTGCACCTCAGAGAGGGTCTCTCTCCATGTTCTTGCCCCTCCTCCAGCACTAGAGCGCTAATGCTTGTTTTTAGATGTGTACTAGCCTGGCTGAGGGGAGGGGAGAATGGTGTTCCTGTTATCCTGGTCCAGCCTCTAAGTACCTTAGGCCCTCTGTCCCTGCATCTGGAGGTAGAGGGTGGGGTGGGGTGGGGGGAGTTCCTCATTCCTGAGGGGTTCCGCCCCTCCTCCTGTGATAAGAGACCTCTGGTAGTCTTAGCATAGGATGATTTCTTGATCCTTCCCACAGGTAGAGGTTTGTGTTTTTGTTTTTTTTTCCTTTTTCTTTCCTTTATAGCCATAGTTGGTTTTCAACCTTTGTCATCGGGGTGAAAGGGTTTTCTGCTCTTTCCCCAAAGGCTTTAACATTTTTGTTCCACGTGAGAAAAGGGGCTGGCTGCATCTTCATGCCTTTCCTGCTCTGGTGGCCACTCTTCTCCTTTAGGCGTCACTACCAAGGGCAGCAGCCTCTGGTCCCCCGTGTTGCCTGCAGTTTTTCTTGTGCGTGCCTAAAGGAGGTGTGTGTGAAGAGCTTGTGAGTGGGTATGGGCTCCCCTTGTATTTCCTTCCAGGCACACTATACTCTTGTGCTGGCTCACACTTAGATTTTAGCAATTTGTTAAAAAGTGTAGCCAATGGGACTGGCCGAGTGGCTCAGTTGGTTAAGAGCTTGCTCAGGAGTTTGAACTCTGAGCAACAGCGGTTTGATTCCCAGCCCAAGCTGAGCAGCTGCTGAGCTGCCAACAGGTGGCAGGATGGCTCAGCTTAAAAAAAAAAAAAAGTGTAGCCAAATTCTTATTACTCACTTGCATTGTGGCCTGTCTCTGCTTAGAGGCACCTGTTGCCCTTAGGTTTCAGGCTATTTGGTTGCCCTGTAACCTTAGCTTCTTGCTGGATTCATGAAAAATTATAGTTTTGTAGATTTATCTTGTTTTTATGGTAGGAGGAATGTTCTTTCCATTTTTTAGGCTTTCCTTGCACTCTTGATATAATTCACACTTCTTTATTTTGTTGGCAGATGACCAAGCCATTATTTCTCTGTCCATTTTCATCATTTAGCCAATTTTCAGGACGAGTGTGGCCATATCTTTGAAAATTACACACATATACTTTTTTCCTCAATATATCTCTGGTATTTGCAACATACATCACACACACTTCTAAATGAGTATCAAAATGCAAAGAAGTAACTATTTAGGCTATTGCAAGCCACTGTAGTTGTAGATTCTCATTAAAAACCGTGGGAGTTAAAGAATAATTTGACCATGAAGTGTTCTGAACACTATTCTAAGGCATATAATTTATAATGCTCTGACTTTCTTTGAAAGTTAAAAATGCTTTGAGATTGCCTAGCTGTTTTGTATCAATTCCGTAAATAGAAATGTTCTTTCGAGAAGAAATGTACATCTATAATATTTTCTTTGCTATTAATGGGCTTTCAGATACACTTGAAAGAAAGTCAAAGATTTAAAAATATGTTTTTAAGGAGGCTGGAATGCTAAGCAATATGCTAATATCTGTTATTTTCCTCAGTAAAAATAAAGTTTCTCATTGTATTTTGTTGAATTATATAGAATTAACTTAAAATAATTATACTTTCTTGATTTAATTTTATAGTTATAATGGAGAATGGGATCTAGCTCAAAAGGCATTGGATGATGTTATATACAGAGCCCAGTTAGAATTATATCCAGAGCCATTGCTGGTAGGTGCCTCACTTATTTATATAAATTTTTTAATTTAAAATTTCTCAGTTTAGAACTATAAATTGAGAAGTAGCCATTCATAATGCATTAATATGTCATGAATACTCAGTGATTCATGCTCCTGTTATACTAAGATAATTTTATACTTGAAAAGGTATATATAATAAAATTTGAAGTTTTTATTAAGCTAATTTCTTATATACCTGATAGTCTTTTTAACTTGTAAGATTGTTCTCCTTAACATGTTAGAGCTACATTTATTAATTAGCATTAGGCATTTGGAAATATAATTTAATATTTTGAAAATTTTAATTTCATCACTTACATATTATTTTTAACTATAAGTTTCCTTCTGAGCTCTTACTCCTGAGTATTTATATATCATCTTATGAAATACCTTGGAAGTATTCTTTTTTAAAACCAGTTAAAATGTAACACTTTATCTAAGGGTGTAATAATACATTTGTTAATACCAATCTTAAACTATATGTTTCTTTCTTAGGTTGCTAATGCAATAAAGGCTTCATTGCCTCATGGTGCCATGAAATCTAGTAAGGAGGGTACAAGGTGTATTCAAGTTGAAATCACACCAACTTCCTCTAGAATATCAAGAAATGCAGTAACCAGCATGTCAATAAGAGGTCATAGGTGGAAAAGACATGGTAAGAAACAAAAAACTCTACACATTAGAAAGTTGTTGATTCTATCACATTTTTCTTTGTACTTGTGGTGCTATAACTTCTAGCTTTATTAAATAGTATCAAAATAGCATGGCAGAAAGAGCTATTGGATCATCTTTGACTTCTAATTTATTATCCATGAATGAATGACAGGCAATAAGGAAAATAGAGCCCCTTATGTTACATATATGAATGAAAATTTATTTAAACATTGTGTTGGCTTTTTAATTATATTTCAATAGAGTAGGAAAGTAGGAAAATGCATTTTAAAATTATTCATACTTTTTGGGTTTCTATTCACAACTATTTGCAAATATTCCTTAATATTTCTGATTTGTCAACTAACATTTTAGCAGGTAAACTTGCATATTAAAGTAGAACAACCAATAGGGATTTGAACATTTTCTTCTGTACTTCCTATAAAGAATGCCATAGTATTGATGCAACTCCAGGCATTTCTGTTTTCTGGAAGTTAATTTTCTTCCAAGATTGTTTATTTGTTTTTAATTGTTTATTGTTTCTTCAGTTACAGTTGACATTCAGTATTATTTTATATTAGTTTCAGGTGTGCAGTATAGTGGTTAGATATTTATATAATTTATGCAGTGGTCTCCCCAATTAGTCTAGTATCCACCTGGCACTGTATATAGTTGTTAACAATTGTTTGTTTGTTTTAATATTTCTCCTTGACTGCTTCATTTTATTATTTAAGAACTCTACTGAAAGTTAATTTTATTCTCCATGGCTTTCTCAATGCTTTCTTATTTCTCTTCTCTGATATTAATTATTTCTTATTTAATTTCTTATTCTTTTTATAAGTGACCTCCTACTTAGAAGTTATTGTAGTGGCAAGAATCAGTGTAAGAAGATTACTATCACCTTTGTCAGAAGGTAACCATAGAATGGGAAGCAAAAAGACACACCTTTGCCCTAAGCAGACGTATAATATACTAAGGGTGAAGCAAAACCCATTCTCTGTTTTCTTCTTCCCATAAACTGTGATGAAAATGGTAGCTCTTTTTGACATATTTTGTTCCATTTGTCCCTGTGGTGTCTAGAGAGAAATGCACAAGTGAGAAGAATGAGATTACTCATGGTGAAATAGAAAGTTGATGATGAGAATACTTGCCATTGTTCCTTCTCAGGGAATCTAGGAAAAAAAGAATGATGATGGAGTTTTCCAGCTTAATCAATGATCATTTTGAATCTTCGTCTTTTTTAAAGTAGTGTGACAAGTCCTTTAGGAAAGCATAAAAGAAGTGTAATGTTTGCCATTAGCAAGGGAAATTATGCTACTATTTAAAACATATAGTCAAATATTTCAGTTTCTTTAGTAAAAATTATGCTACTGAATGGGACTAGATTGCAGGTAGAAAGTCATTTAATTAGTTATGGTGGTACACTAGAGATCATTTTTTTGTTTAATATTAATAAATGAAAATGGACACAGAGGCAATGAACCAGATGATATGGGTCATTGTAGCCGTAATGGCTCCCAAACTACCGCTACAGGAAATGCAAGAATGAATTTTAATCTCTTTCCCACTTTCCTTTGTTGCTATTTAGGCGGACATGTTGGGAATTAGGGGGATAAATATAGGTCTTGCAGTTAAAAATGTGAAATAATGAAGTTCAGCTGTATTTGTGCATGTTTATGAGAGAAAGAGGTGTGTGTATGTGTCCATGTATGCGTTTAACAGAATTTAAGTGGTATACCCTGCAATAAAATAGAAGGTGTTTTCCAGAAATATAGGACTGAATTATCAAAACAATAGAAAAGACTACTTGAAGTATATTGTGTCTATTAGATACCTACACATTTTCCAGATTACATTTTGGCCACCACTTGAGGAGCTGGCACTGTCTTAGGGCTACAGCCTCATTAAAGTAACTTTCCTTATCACCTATCCCCCTACACTTATTCAACTGTCACCACTCTAACACCTGGGCAACTCATGTTTATGATAACAAAAAAGTCACAAATGAGGATTTAGAAGAGAATGAACTATAAAAAAAAGTCAGGTGCATGGAGCAGACACAGAATATAGCTTAGTCTTGTTTACTACTCCTCTGTAGTGTGAATTCCCCTTATCCGTGGACTCTAAAATATTCCTACTAAAGGTCCTTATTTACCTGTACAGATAGGTTGCATTCTCCCTTTTTAGGGTAGTCTTGGCTTCCTTCCGAGAGCTGTATTTTTCACTGTTACTCTGTTCTGCTGAATTAAAAACTTTTTTGTTTTCCATCTTTTTTGTCCTGATTCCTCCTTGGAACACCTTATTATAGTTCTGGGCTCTCTAGCTGGCACTGGCATCTTTTGAGGAAGATAGGTATCTTTGCTATAGTTCTTAAATATATAAACAATCTCAAGTTATAAATTGATTTTTAAATTAAATTTACTTATCTGTAAATTATATTTATTATATTATATTCATATATAAACTGTATATATGAATTACAACAAAATTTAATTTATTTATACACTTAAGTTTTCCAGTGTTAAAGGGCTTGTTGATTCCAGGGTGACCCGCAAAAGCCTTTTCATCCCGTGTTTCTGAAGCAGAGTACTATAGATTGTAGGTTTAGTTTATGACTGAGTGAAAACACATTTAGAGTTTCTTTATTGGATGGAACACAAAATGCGTTTCCCATTACATCTATATCCCCACCCTATCCTTATCATACCAACCCTCCCAGGAGGAGGGATTTCTTCTCAGGCCCCGAACTATATCATTCAGTAGGAATGTGGAATATGCAACTACAAGCCAATGATGATGAGGGCTGGGGAAGGAGAAGGGACAAGAAGCATGAACTTTAAGGAATATTCTTTTTATTTTTCTATGGCCTTTTTCTTTGTTATTGCCACTGCTGAAAAGAAGAAAGGAATTGGCTTTTTTTTTTGCTTCCTTGGGTTTATTCCTTTTTTCCGTCTTTTTTCTTTTACTTATATCTTTTTTTAAAAAAATGAGATATAATTGCCATATAAAGTTATATTGGTTCCAGGTGTACAACATAATGATTCAGTATATATATATATATATATATATATATATATATATATATAATGAAACCATCACCAGAGTAAGTCTAGTTAACACCCATTGCCACCCATAGTTACAATTTTTTTTTCTTGTGATGAGAACTTTAAGATCTCTCTTAGAAACTTTCAAATATAAAATACAATTTTATTAACTGTAGTCACCATGCTGTACATGTATATTACATCGCCAGTACTTACTTATTTTATAACTGGAAATTTGTACCTATTGACCATTTTCGCTCATCCCCTCCCTCGTCCCCACCCCCAACCTTCCCTCTGGCAATCGCTAATCCAGTCTCTGTATCTATGATTTTAGGTTTTTTTTGTTGTTTATTTATTTTTTATTCTTTTAGCTGAGCCATCCTGCCACCTGTTGGTAGCTCAGCGGCAGCTCAGCTTGGGCCAGGACTCAAACCGCTGTTGCTCAGAGCTCAAACTCTTGAGTAAGCTCTTAACCAACTGAGCCACTCGGCCGGCCCTGTTGTTGTTGTTTAGATTCCACATATAAGTGAGAGCATACAATATTTGTCTTTCTCTGACTTATTTCACTTAGCATAATACCCTCTAGTCTATCCATGTTGTCACAAATAATAGGATTTCCTTCTTTTTAATGGTTGACTAATATTCCATTGTATATATACCACATTTTATGTATCCGTTCATCCATCACTGGACATTTAGGTTGCTTCCATATTTATTGCCTCTCTCCTTTTTTCTCCTTTTTCCAGCCTATCTGGGGAGAAGAGGGAGAGGAGTAAGTGAGGTTTTCCCATGGAAGCAGCCAAGCAGAACTTTCTATTTTTCACTTTTTTCTCTCCATATTTCTTTATCATTAATGAATATAGATAATTAAGCCATGTGAACATATTAGTGTGTTTGCATATCTGAGGCACCAAAAATTATACATGCAAGGAAATACGTTAAATTGGAGCAATTAATCACATTTTTTTTTATTTGTAACAGAAAAATCTCTTTACCTTTACAGCCCAACTGTTTTTAAAATTAATTTGGAACATTTTTAATTACTTACATTAAAATTTTTTGAGCTATCTAGAATGCACTTCAGGATTCTCTGAAGCCTCACAGATCTATCTACCCATTCTTTTGTTAAAGTTAAGAATTATCCACAGCTTACATTTTATTTTATTATTTATTTTATTTTAATTTTTAAAGGTTTTATTGGGGAATTGGGGAAGGGGAACAGTGTTGGGGAATTAGGGAAGGGGAACAGTTAAGTTGTTGTCCTTCAATCTTAGTTGTGGAGGGCGCAGCTAGCTCAGCTCCAAGTGCAGTCGCCATCTGGCTGCCCATCTGCAGCTTGCAGCCGCTCAGCTCAAGGTGCCGTGTTCAATCTTAGTTGCGGGGGGGCGTAGCCCACCATCCCATGCAGGAGTCGAACGGGCAACCTTGTTGTTAGGAGCATGTACTCTCACAAGCTGAGCTATCCTGCTACCTGTTGGCAGCTCAGAGGCAGCTCAGCTCGGGTGCAGCTCACTGGCCCATGTGGGAATTGAACCGTCGACCCTGTTGCTCAGAGCTCGTGTTCTTAACCAACTGAGCCACTCAGCTGGCCTCTCCACAGCTTATATTTTAATGGAAAGTGTTCTTTTGGAAGGTAAAAAAATTACTTTAGGTTTAACATTTCCACACATGGCAGAACATATGTCCCTTGTTATGGTCTTGTTATTATTGAATAACGACCCAAATTTTTAGAATTATATTTTGACCAGTTCTATTATTTGCTTGGCCTTAATTAATAGACTTTTTTTTTTTTTAGAGCAGTTTTAGGTTCATAGCAAAACTGAGTGGGACGTAGAGTTCCCACATGCCCTCTGTCCACCACCGCATATTCTTCCACTGTCAACATCTCACACCAGAAAGATATATATATATATATATATGTATAAAATGCCCTGTAATTTTAATTTTGACTAAACAGTAC